CTACCTTCAATTCCCAATCCAGTATTTCTCTGATACTCAATAGTTTTAAAAGATACATTTTTGTGCCCTCAGTGTTTGCTGTTGGACATGTTGGATTTTTGGGGGGGTTTTATATAGAAAATCTTCCTGTATAAAAATGTATTCTAGACATTGTCAATATTTGATCAAATTAATTTATAATTTGGTAAATTTTCTGGCTGGAAGTATAAAAATATCTGCATATGTTACATTTAATAAGACACATCTTAAATAAGAAAGCTCCCTTACACAGTTATTTTTATTTTAGAATTTTATGTGCATTTGTCTGTTGTGACAAAGATGTGCACCATAACATTTCCCATTGTAGCCAGTTTTAAGTGTGTCCCTGATTATTGCTGTCTGTGTATACGATGGAGAAGCAGAGGTCCAAACTTTCTCAGCATACCAAACTCCAGCACCATATCCACTACAATGCCATTTCCCACTCATATCAGCACTCCTAACCACCCTTCCTTCTGTTTCTGTGAATCTGATGACCTCAAGTACCTCATATAAATGGAATGGTACAGCATCTGTCTGCTTGCAGTTCGCCTATTCTTGTAGCGTAATGCCTTCCATGTTGGAGCATGTGATAGAATTAACTCCCTTCTTAAGGCTAAGCACCATCCCATGGTATTGCCTGGAATAATGGATGCATTGTATGTATTGTTTATTTATTTGTCAATGAATATTTGGATTTCTTCCTCTTTTGGCTACCTCGAATAGAACTGTAATGAACGTGGGTGTGTAAATATGTTTTAAACTCCTTCAGGTATATACCCACTAGTGGGATGGCTGGATTTCTGGGTAGCTCCTTTTTCTACATCTCAAGGAACTGCTCCTGTTTCCCCCAATGGCTGCACATTTCACAGGCCCCAGCAGGAAATAGCATCTCAGTGCTCTGGCACCCAGCAGGACATAGCATCTCAGTGCTCTAGCACCTGTCTTTTCCTTAGTTCTTCTGTTCTGTGTTTGCCTATAGCCCTTCTGCTGAGCATAGTGTGAAGTGGTAGGGTGGTTTGATTTGCAGCTCTGGGAGGGTGTGATGGGAACATATTTTCATTTGCTTGTTGGCCACATGCTCTGTCATCTTTTCAGAAATGTTCTTAGAGTCCTTTGCCCAAGTCCTTGGGGTTTTTGTGTTTGTTTGTTTGTTTGTTTGTTTTGGTCTTTTTGAGACAGGGTCTCCCTGTAGCCCCAGCTGTCCTGGAACTCACTATGTAGACCAAGCTGGCCTTGAGCTCACAGAGATTCGCCTGCCTCTGCCTCCTGAGTGCTGGGATTAAAGGCCTGCACCACCACGCCTGGCGATGTTTGTTTGTTTTACAATAGGTCTCCCTGTAGCCCCAGCTGGCCTGGAACTATGTAGACCAGGCTGGCCTCCATCTCACAGAGATCCGCCTGCCTCTACCTCCCAAGTGCTGGGATTAAAGGTGTGTGTACCATGCCCAGCACTTTGCCCATTCAGAAATCATGTTATTTGATACTTTTTGTTGAGTTCTAGACATTCTTTATATTCTTTGGCTATTAACCCCTTATCAGATATGTGATTTGAAAATATTTTCTTTTTTTAATGATTTTCTTAACATTTGTGTGTGCGTGCATGCTCTCACATGTGCATGTGTGTAGAGGAGGCCAGAGGTCAACCTTGAGTGCCATTCTCCAGGTGACTTCCACCATGTTTTTGTAAATATCTTATTTATTTTTATTTTATGTGTATGAATGTTTTGCCTGCATGTATTTAAGTGCACCACATGCAAACAAACCCACTGAGGCTAGAAGAGGGCATCAGATATCCTAGAGTTATGTAATGAACAATTGTTAGCGGCCATGTCAGTGCTGGGAACTAAACCCAGGTCCTCTGCAAGAGGAGCCAGTACTCTTAACTGCTGAGCCATCCTTTCAGCCCTGTACCTTGTTTTTTGAGACAGGGTCCCTCACTGGCCTAGAGCTTACCAATTAGGCTAGGTTGACAGGCCAGTGAGCCCCAGGACGCCCCCTGCATCCCCACCTCCCCTCTATCTGCCAATGCTGGGATTACAAGCGTGAACCCCCAGACCCGGCTTCTTTGCAGGGGTTCTGGGGATCAAATTCAGGGTCTTACACTTAGGAGGCAAATGTTCCACCACCTGCGCTCTCTCCCCAGCCATGACTTGCAGGGATGGTCTCTCCTTCCACAGGTTCTTACCTTACTCTGCTGCACAAGAGAATTGTGTGATGCACAGCCTTCATCTGTCTTCACCTCTGTTGCCTGTGTTTTGGGCATATCTAAAACCTTTCTCCAAATCAAGTGTCATGAAGCCTTTCCTCATGCTTTTCTTAGATTTCTGTAGTGTTAGGTCTTATTCTTGAGCTTTTAATCTATCTGGGGTTGATTTTGTTCATGTATAAGATAGTAGTAGTGTAGACTCATTCCTTCCATTGGTGATCTCATTTTCTCAACGTTGTTTCTAGGAGACACTGTCATTTCTTCACCTTCTGGTCTTGGCACCTTTGTCAAAAATCACTGACCATACATGCAAGAACTTGTTTCTAGTATTCATTTGGCCTGTTTATCTGTCTTTGTGCCACATGCTATACTGTTTTGATTACTGTAGCTTTGTAATATGCTTCAAAAACAGAGAATATGA